CTCTATAATTTGCGACAGTGATGCATCTGTGCTTGAAGGATCTGTATCACACAACTAACTTTTGCAGTCCCAAGTTGTCAATTTGTGCCCCATGTGCCTGACAGGGGTTGCTGGCGGAATGCACTTCACAGTGTGGTACCATGCAGCCTCAAATTCACACTCAGGGTGGTGTTGTTGGGTTCTCCTTCCACAACTGGCGAGCGAGCACGGATGTCGCGTGGCATTAAACGGAATACAATATCATGCCTGAGTGCAGTCAACCCTTCCACGTAGCTTACGTGTGGGCTGTCCGTCGGTTCCCTTTTCCTTTAACGACGAAAACTCTTCTGGCGTCTTCTAACTCTTACCCATAGGTACGCTCAGCGCACTGCGCTGTATTGCTAACATTTTCGCACCAGCCATGAAAATGGAAAGGCAACGCAACTCTGGAGAATGCGGAGGAGAAAATATATGCTACCAAGCTGTTTCCGCAGCGATTGCAAGATTAGGATCTAAATCTTGGAACTGTGCTAATTCGGGGGAGTGACAGTATCCCTTAAAACGCGATGCTTCATTTCAAAATGCCGATAGGCTGCATATTATGCGGTGCACTTATTCAATCAATTGGATGTGTGTGTGTGATGCATTCATCTCATCAATTGAATATATTGCGTAACATATACTCATAGTCGCACGCTACGTCGCAATGTTTCAGCACACTGGCTCGAAGACGTATTGCCAGCTGAGCGTGCCTGCCAGTATGAAAATTGTATAGATGAGTCTCATCCACTGCCGTGGCACCTGGTGGTAACATTGCAGCCCGCTTGGCATCCTGTTTGGCAGCGTGCTCAGCAGCTAGCTCCATCTTCCGGAGTTGAAGGTAGGTGGGAACCTGATGGACGCACGAGGCACATTCAAAAGCAGCGACTCACCAATGCACTCAACTCCCTGCCATTTTCCCGGGCGCTGTCCAACGCCATTGTTGGTGATGCTGGCAATCAGAAAGATTTGTGATGGGTGCAGTGGTGCGGAGGTGAACACGCCAATTTGGAGTCGATTGCATACGCAGACACGATACTGCGTTCTGTGAAATGTTTGCCTTCCATCTAGGAATTTCAGTGCGCACAGAGCAGCACTTGGGATTATTAGTTCTTGCTCCACACCACGTCCTTTCCTGGCAGGAGGGGTGCTTCTATGAAATATGGACACCAACATTTGCGTCTCCGCCGTTCAGCTTGCAGGCGGCAATGAACGGTGTGCACAGTACGGCGACAAATCGCCTTGGGCGATGCCCTGCGCGCCGTTGCTCCCGACCTGGCCATACCCTTCCTTATGCAGCCACTTCCGAGCATCTTGGTCCTTCTTTGCTTCTTCTACAGGTTTCGAAGTCCCTGCGGTGATGATGTTCTGAGCCACGAAGTTGCGGCCTCCAGGGTGCGGGGGTCTGAATGCCAAGCAGCAACATTCAGCGAGATCAACATACCTATGGATGTCAGCAACCACATCATTGCCTGTGGTCTGATCTTGTCCGTCATGCTGTCGTTTGTAATCAAGACAACTCTGGAGGACTGGCTTAGCAATGAAACTCCTCTGCAACTCAACACTAGGTTGCCTAACAGTGCAATTCCGTCAGCTTTCTCCCCCCCCACCCCCCACCCCCCCACCCACCCCACTCCGCCCCACCCCCGCGTTACCTGGTTCCTTGGTTGTTGCGTACTTCACTGCTCTGTACATTTCTGTTTGTGTAAACCTGCACTGATTGCCACATTCAAATTGCTACATTCATGACAGCATGGCAAGTCGGCGCCCTTGTCTCATCGATATAATGACGAGACGCCTGGACACACATTGTGAGATGTGTGGCGCCTTTTCCTCTGCTTTGGCTGCCTCCGCTTCAGTGTGGTATTGATGAGGACAATGTGGGAGATTTGTGCATCCGCGATTCAGACGGGGCCGACCTTCTGTAGCCATCAACCACATTGCATACAGGCACCCTGACCGAGGCAAGAAGGGAGACCCTTGGGCATGTATTGTAAAATCTCGTGATTGGCTCCAGGTCTTTTGCAAGCAGCACATCCAAGGGGTCGGCCTGGGCCAAAGTCTGGCCTGGGCGGCTGGGTTGGAGCAGTGAGAGTGAGAAGATGCTGATACCTTGAAGCCGGCAAGTGCGATTGGTGTCCATTGACACCGGGACGACGCCATTGCTGTTTGCCACTGCCTTTGTGAGGTACCTTCTCATCCTGCGCCACGGCAAGGAACTTTCCTCTGATCCAAGATTCAACATGCGTAAGTCGTCCCTCAGCAGCTCTTTGAAACGGGCTGTTTGACATCACACAATCGCCACAAGGTGGCATCTCATAAGGCTGGGGAGGTCCCAATGGGAACACAGGTGGAGGTTGAGCAAAAGCTGGTGGGACTGCAACATCCTTGCTCGTAAGTTGGCCCCCACCTTCACACACCACAGTTGGTGGGTGAGCCCCAATATTGATTGGATGCGTTCAAACATGGCATGGCGCTGGCTTTTGCGCCTTGCACGGCATGAACCTTCGTTCTCCCCATAATCGCTTGCCGGCAGAGTATGCATGCACTTGGCAAGGGAGTGAAGCGCCGCAAAGGCAACGGTGAGGTGCAATGGCAATGGATGAGGCTCGAGCTCACCGTCTTCCTGACTGCATTGAGATTGCTCATTTGTTTGATTGCCTCAATGTTTTGCCGGGCATGGTTGATGGGCTTGATGCCTCTCCTGCGTTGGGCGTCCCGAATGCCTCGTACAGGGTTGAGAATGTTTTCCACCTTCACAAACGCCAACAGCCGTGAGTGTGCAATCTGATGTGCTCAGGTGCAACGCCACGCAGTGGACGCTGGTAACAAGCAGCTGTCCCCTAAAAGCGGCGGTTCAGAATCCGAAGACTGAAAGTGAAATTGTGTTGCGTGTTTGTGCTTGTGCTCTTGTGCTCTTGTGCTCTGTGCTATCCTCGTTGCACTCGGAAGTTTCACATCATCTTCCAAATCGCGTAACAGAGCCTCACACGAGACAAGCCCAGAAGCTCCTATCTTGAAAACAACTTGGGTAAGAGAGAAGCCCAGAACCTGCCAGGGGCAAGGTGCCCAATGCGCGATTTGTTTTCCTTCCGCTGAAGCAACAATCTTCGGGATCACAGATTCGCGATCGTCCCCCGAGAGGGGCGCCGCAAGGCCCCCCACCTGTGTGCTGTTGATATGCATAGCCAGCTTCACTGGCCGCGGCCTGGGCGCTGCGCCGTTCGACTTCTTCGACACCTTGCCCCCGAACTTGGGATACCCCTCCTCGAGCGACTGAATGGACGAGTACTCTTCCCTGCCCACGGACACAGAGGGAATCTATCAGCTGCTCCACGGCCAACCCACTTCCGCAGTCGGCCGTGCGCTTCCTGATGGGCCGTACCTCCGGCCATGCAGCGCTTCCGACGCCCCGGGAAGAAGAATTCCTCCAGCTCATCCGCTCTTGGCCCCAGAGGGGCAATCGCGCGTGACACCCCGAGTACACCGCGTCACCCAAAGGCAATGAAGAGGTAACGGACAGGCGGCCCTCCGCAATGACGTTCGAATCGAAAGGGGAGCCCGAGAGATCGGCCCGGTGCCGAGCGACCATTCGCGATTGGGGACGGCCTTATGGCTTCGCGGAAAGACTTCCACCACTGGGAACGCGGGCGCTGTTCGTGCGCAGATTGCAAATCCACGATGAGGGGGAAAGAGAGCGGGGGGGAGAGAAGAGCTTCTGAGGTTCGAATTTCGGCCGCAGGCTGGGCTCGGCGCTAGCGGTGCATGTGCGCATTGCTCGTCGACCCTAGGCGGCGGAGGCCGCGAAGGGAGTGTGGCATTCTCACGCTGTTGGGACGCCGCCATGAGCGACCACGGACCCGGCGTCGGTCCCTCTCTCCATCTTCGCCGTGAAGCACGCTGCCCGTCGCCCCGCCGGCAGTCCGCGGCGGAGAGCTCGAACAAGGGCGCGAAAACCCGCAGAGGCGGTGGTGGGGTTTGGTTTCTGTGAGGTTGGGCCTCAGGGACCGCCAGGAACTCCCCCAGCGAAAGCAATCTACAATGGAATTAGGCATCAAACCCGTTGCCACAAAACAAATCAGGTGAACGTAGTGTGGTGGCATTGCGACCTGGGGGCATGAAATTTGTCGCTCTGTCTTTTCTCTTTACTCTTTCTCTTACATACCATGCATTTGCGGACATGAAGGTCATTTTGAGGTTTAGCTTTTTCGAGTTTCAGGTATTTATTTAGGGGCTTGGTACACTTCAAGTCACCTTACCTTCATATCAGACTGTAAGTATTGGGCAAACCTTCTCCTTGATGCCGAAAAGACGTTGTCTTGAGCTGTGTCAACATGGCAGCATAGTTTGCTGTCATGATCTGATCGAATGAAGACCCGGTTGCGTGCCATTGAACAAAGGTCTGCGGACGGCATCGGATAGCATAGATGGATCAGAAAAGTGCGTGTAACCTGCAGCGTCGGATTTCAAACCGATAGCGCCACAAAGGAGTACAGTGTGTCACATTGGAAGTGCAGACCATCATCACTGAAGGCCGCATCTTTCATGGCCTTCATGGTGGCATTCAACGCAGTGTTCCCAGTTCTTTGCATATGTTCTCCAAAAAATTCCGCTGGGAAATGCTACAAAGTATGTCGTTATTCAACGTAGTGTTCCCAGTTCTTTGCGAATGTTTTCCAAAAAAAAACTCCGCTTGGAAATGCTACAAAGTATGTCGTTATTCGGACCGTTCTCAAAAAATTTTGGACAACTCCTGCCAATTCGAATCTCTTTTCAGTTCAGGTAAACTACTCCCTGGTGGCCATTGTGCCAAGGAAAACGAATTTCCGCAAATCTAGCTCGTGGAGGATAATTTTGTTTTGATTCCGAAGCGTCTTCGTTTCCTTGGGGTACAAATATGTCTGTGCATCCCTGCACACTGGCGAAGTTAATGTATTCTGCAATTTCCTTGCCTCCCCATGCTGGGAATTGCGATGCACCCACTACCTCCGGATCAAAAAGGAATCCATTGGCCCCTTACCGGACTTTGTCAAGCCTCTAGAGGACTGCTTACTGCCATTTGAGTTCGATATTTTTGAATCCATGTGCCTGCCAATGCCAAGCTCCTCCCTCTGCAGTTTTACAGCCATCTCGTAGTCAGTCCTTGCCTCTTGACACCTGCCTCCCCTGCCTCCACAGCCCTGACTCAGCTCACCATTTGCAGCCATCCTTTTGAGCGTCAAGACTTCATGGTGGGCGAACCCCGATGAGCCTGGTCTCGGATGTTGGGGCCTCTCAGTTTCCTTGGAGAAACTTGTGGCCCTGCTGTTAAGACTGTCTAGGAGCGACTGCTGCCTAGATGCTGGCCCGCAGCTGATCGAAACAGGCTGCAGGACCCCATTGTGCGACCTGCTGGGGTCCAGGCCATGTGCCAGGCCACTGCTGCAGTCAATGCCCCAGGCAGGTGGGCAGTTGTCTGATGTGGACGCCGGGGCCCCCAACCTACTTGTGCTCCCTGAGTCATTTCTGCTGCCCACCCTGTTTCTTGCGTCCTGATCATTGGCGGTGGCAACCTCATTCGTACCATCCACAGCTGGGGAGGATGCCCAGGTCCTCAGGCTGCAGTCATGCGTGGATGTTGGAGCTTGCATGGAGGCACCGTCATCTTCCAGGTTTGTTATAAGGTCATGCTGGCACCTCAACGACCCAGCCTGCTTTAGGACAAGTTCTGCCCAGCCAGCGGATGCCTGCTGGCAGTGTGCATCATCTCTAGGACTGCCCAAGGGCCAACCCTCCACACCTGAATCCAAAGCAGGTTCCCCATGATTGTGTGTACCTGCACCTGTGTCCACCTTCACTGCCCCCAATTTTGCCTTCTTTGCATCAGCTGCCCCAGTGTCGCCATTGTGAATGTCTGTGACTGCAGCCTCTTCTGGCAACCGATCGTGCTCCCTGACCTCTCTCTCCAGTCGCTTGCTAAGGATGCCAGCCCGCGGCACACCGCCATAGTCCCTCCTGCTGTGCTGGTTGGCTGCTGCCACACAACGGCTGGCCACGGGTGCAACTGGTGTGCCACACTCTGCTGATCGGCCACTGCTGGCAGCCCCAGTAAACCCGCCTGCCCCACAAAGGCTTCGACAGGAACCTCCACTGGCCAGCCCTGATTCTCCTCCATCGACTTGCCCACATGGGCTGAAAAAGCGAGATATGGGACCGGACAGCTGCCCAGGCCTCCTGGCCACAAAGCTCGTTGCCCCCAGGTTGATGAGCTTCAAATGGAAAGGCTCCTGAAGATGTTGCTCCAAGATTCGCATTGCAGCGGTGGCAAGAAGCTCAGACTGTTGCAGCAGGAAAAAAGTGGCATTCAGAGATCCTGTACCTGAGTCACGGTTCCCAGTGTTTCGCTCACAAGGGTCGGCCACCTTCACACGCAATGGGATGATGACATAGTTTTAGGTCTGTGGGATTCTTGTTGCATGCATTTGAGCAGTCTGGCACATAAGTAAACATTCTTCTTGCAGTTTCATTGCATGCAACTCAAATTCAGGGTTGCATTATCACAACTATCTTGGTCTGACGAGATCGCAGAAGGCACCCTGAAACAAAACCAAAATTATCTCTTTGATCCTTTGCTGTCAGGGCAGTGTGCTGCTGTTGTCAACGACAGCTCAATCCAATGCGGATAGCCATAGAAATGGCAACAAAAGGGAACACTATCAACAGCAGTACAACAAAGGATGACAAAGTGGGAGCCGCACTCTTGGTGCTCTTGAACAAGCTCTGCCCTCACGCTTCAAGAAATAAGATACTGCAACTTTCTCCCTCCATTTAAGATCCAAATTCTGCACATTTATCCTGCACTTTGCAGAGAGTGGCAACCTGTCTGGAATGTGTTTGCCCTGGCTGGCATCCATTTGGCATGGCCGATGAGGACGAAGATCTCTTCCAGCCTTGGCCTTGAATCCTCCATTTCAGGGTCAGCGTCCTTGGCCAACGGCTGTTTTCATCGTGATCTTCTTCAAGCCGAAGCAGCAAGTCTGGTGCCAGCACAGTGATAACCGAACGCGCCGCAGCAAGAGTCGTGCACGACTTGAAGGACTCCTCGACTGTTATCGACTTTGGCGGTCCACGCTCCTGGACTGGTGTGGGATCGCATCCCCAGCATGCCTTGTGCAGAAACGCACCTGCAGCCGGCACACAGCAAGAACCTTGCTCACAACACACCTCCACAACAATTGTCCCAGAGCATGAAGTGCTGTGGACAATACAAACTGCACCTGTTCCTTGACACAAAATGCGAGCAAAATTGCTGACGATTTGCCGACGATTCTTCAAAATCTGGCTCAGTGGTCAGCTTCAGGATAAGAAATATATGACAGTTATTGTGTCCATGATATGCGGTCACTGTCAAAGGTAAAGTTGTGAACTGCTCTAAAGTTGGTTGCCCATCGTTGTTTCACCTGGACATAGGTGGGTTGACATCCAACAATCAAAATCAGGATGGAAACATATTGATTCAAAAGGATCAAATTACCCGAACGTTGTTGTGTACTCTGCAGGACACAGAGCACTCACGCACAGAGCTGTATCATAGGTTTATGCAGTCATTGCATGTTGCATTAGTAAAACCAAAGAGACAGACAAGGAATTCCACCTTCAATGCAAACTTCAGCCTGAAATGCCCTTGAAAAAATAGTGCGTTATGAACATTACGTTCACAATAACAGTATTTTTGGTGTATGTATGCACGACCAAACTATTTTACAGCCCACCCTTTGTCCATCCTTTCCACATAAAAACTCTGGATTGCCAGCTCAAACAATAAACAATGTGCGCATTTACCGAGTTGTGATGACGTGCCGGGAAAGGTGAATCTTGTTTCAAGTTGATGCATGCTGAACAACGAAACCTCAGTATTTCAACCTCCACAGCTCAAGAGACCAATATTTGTCCTCACCAGTGCGATCCCCAAAGCACCTGATGAGATCTGTCTCGTTCATCTTTCGCAGATCTTCCACCACTCTCATCCCCATCTCAGTCAGCTGCGCCTCCAGCTTGTGCCCCACACCGGGAATTGCACGGACTGCCAGTGGACCAACAAACGCCTGCACAGTTCAAGCAGTGTTCATCTCGTATTTGGAGTCGCTCCAGGAAGACAGCAAAGCGTGTTCAGCCAGAAAGACTGTGGAACAGCAATAAGAATGGCACGTTCTGAAGACTTGTGCCCCCTCCTGCAAATGTGCTGGCAGATCGTGAGGGACAACTGCACATGAATGGACTGCCATTCTAAAGTTTGACAAGGGAGCAACACAGAAGATAAGCCATGCATCGTACACCCGATTTGTCAGTGTATCAAGCTTAGAAACTATTGCACGGGAATGTACTGCCCTCTCACTTGCTCCAGCCGTAGAAACCCAAGCAGCAGAGGGAAACATTGGTTGTGAGAGTGAGAGATGCACTGAGAGGGCACGTCCAGCAGGATAATTCCTGGCGATGCAGATAATTGCCCACCGATGCCTGTGAAGGAAGAATGATGGTTTGATCATCCGGTTTGTGCAGCCCGCTAGCAAGTTTGGCAAGAAGCCGGTTGGATGCAATGCCTGCAGAGCATCTGAATCCCGCCTCGTTCTTCAGGGCCTTGCGTGCTTCTGCAGCAATCATTGTCCCAGCAGCAAGCAGGCGATCTTGTGCATTCATCAAATATACATCGTCTGTGCTGCAATAAGGAGTGGCATCTTTGGAGGCAGTAGACGGGCAGGCTGATGTCTGCTGTGCCCTGAGATCCATTGGCCTGTGTGCATTGTCGCTGCAGACGGTCACTGAACTCATGTGGACATGGCCATGAAATTTCAGCGGTGAACCCTGAAGCATCCTTTCTTTTGCTGCCTGAAGCACAAAGCAGTGCTTCAAGTCAAAGCAATTAGGACAGATCGGCTAGTTTCAATAGAATGGTGCAGAATGCTATAGGCACAAGTCAAGGCTGTTGCTGACAAACTGCACAATGCCAGCCTTGTCATCGATCCTGCTAAAGAGATGCAGCACTTGCTCATGACAACTGAGCACAAATGTGGGACCTCAGAACATTGATGGCCAGTAATCCACTTGCAAGCGGGGCAAATTGCACTTGGATGTCAAGTGCAAGATTCGCTTGAGTGTTGTGCAGGATGCCTAATACTACTGCAACAAAGTCTTGACCACAGCCTGTTTTTGAGGGATGTGTGTGAAGGAACAGAAGCCACGTAACCAAAAGGGGGCTTTCCTGTGTAAGTGTGACAACGCAGAAAATTTGTGCCCAAACATTTTCAGAGAATGCATGGAAGATACGCGCAGTGGTGAATAGTCCATTTGATGCCAGGGGATACAATGGGAAGGGCAACCAGCAGGGACTGACACATGCTACACTGTGCGTACATGTTTGGAGCTCATTCTATAGTGACATGTTTGTGTTGCACTGATGTCATGAATGCACCTTGAACAACATGACAATGAGATGTTTTGGAATTGAAAATGGGCAACCATTCAGTGAGGCTTATCTGTGACCATCTGCCATTCACCATAAAGTGATTGTTTGATATCAAATGTCACAGTGCCTCGCACACAGCCAAAGACATAGTGTTTTCTATGGCAATGTGGGCTCACCTGGCTGACATCAAGCAGTGTCTCATCCAGTCCCAGGCGCTCAGCAACTCCAAACCTCTTCAGCACGCTGAGGATGCTCTTAGCTGCATGCCTGCACCGCTTGTTTTAGAGTTATGCCCATGGCTGTGGCTGATTCAGAAAAGGGAGGGCTCACATCAACACAAGTCTTGTTGTGCAAAACCAGGGATCGTGGTTGCCTTCAATCGAAAATTGTGCACTTGCATCTTCAACAAGCCTTGTTGGAGGTTTCATTTTGGCAAAGACGAAACGCGATGTACACTTTGCATCGCCCTCATCAGTGAAGTTGTTTGTGAGCGCAAATCTGTGAATGAATGCATCAAAAGCACACAATAGCAACAACCCTTACTACTTGCTATGATTTTAATCTACGAGACCCACTCCTCCACTTGAGATTGCGCATTGGTTTTCAGGCATCCGAATTAGGGCTTTACATCACCTTCTGCTTTCCTGCATGGCGACACAACACCTACATCTCTTGGGACATAGGCAGGACCTTAACTTCTAATTGTGATGAACCACTTCTGAAACAAAACAAAACCGCTGTGGCAGAGGGCCATGCTCAAGGCCAGCATGGCAAAGGAGACAGCACCTGTAGGGCGTCAAGTCCTCCCCAGATATGAGCACCAGGTCAGGACACAACTCAAGGGCCCTTGTTATGGCCATCATCTTCTGCACGCCATGTTTTCGGGCAGTGTAGTTGCAGGTGACGATGAGGTACTTCTGTGTGACCCCAAGAGGGCGGTCTCGCAGACTTGGATTGCGGACTTCTTCCACCTGCATGCATATTATAGTGCCAGGAGTTTGCAGAAAGAGAGGGAACACAGAATCCAGAAATGTCCACAAACTTCCGCAGACCAAAACACAGACTACATGCCTGCAACTAGTCCAGAGATGAAAGCAAAGACCACAAATACACGCAGCCCTTGTCTGCAAGCCATAGCAAAGACCACACCCTTCAATGCTATGTTGCTGATTGTTCATTCTCTGCAACCATTGGGCACTTTATATCTTGAGCCATACCAAGTTGACAACCAGCACACAGTGGGTGCGCAAGAACATTGCAACATGACAATCTGCAACAACATACTCCCATCCATCCCAAAAACGGGAATTCTGCAATGCTGCTGATACAGGTACGTTTTCTCTGAGGTGGTGGCAACACTTTAAGTCGCCAGCACAAATGCATCGCATGGACGTACCTGGGCATAGAATGCATCAACGTCGATGTGAATAATAACGCGGCCCTGATCGGGAGCAAGGCCGTTAGCCATTGCCCTGCGCACATGGTGGCAACACCACACAAAGGCAGCCTGGCTTAATTGCTCTGTGATACATCGCCGAGTACAACAGTGCTGATTCACTGGATAATGAGCGAGGTTATCTTGAGCGTCCCCCTCCTGGAGACTGTGGGCATGCAGTTAGTGATTCAGTTTCTTTGCTGAAATCGAAGCCGCTTCAGTGGTTAATGAACAGAAAACAACCACCCCAAGTGCCTACAACTCCAGCAGAAGAGACCGCAGCATCAACAACAATTCAAACTTCGTTGAAGCTGATTCCTAAACTGCAAGGTATCCGTCAGCACCCTTCGAAGAAAGCAAGGAATGGTGCTGGAACGGAGGCTTGGAATAGCAACCTGGCAGCCCGTCAACGCGGTCGTTACATAAATGCGGTGGTGCTCACGCGTGAATGGCAAGGACGATGGCAAAGCGATCCTGTTCTAGCTCTTCCAGTCGCCCAGCACAGGTGAGTGCACAGCTTATGCACACACGCGGAGCGCATCGTGTTGTGAATGGGAGGGCGGATTCAAGACCATTGCACGAGTGCCTCAGCAACGGTATCACACGGCACATCAGTAAAACAGAGTCAGCCATGGGGTCCCACTCTGTACGACCAGAATCTCAGTGCATCGCCGGGTTCCAGCGAAAACAGGAACACAAGCGAGGCCCGCGGCCAATGGGGGCTCAAGGCGTTGGCAGCAGCTGCAATTGGAGGGAAATCCAGGCACGGTGTTGCACACAAGTGCGGGCTCTTGGGGTTGTTACCTCCCCAAGGTCCCCACCGCCGCTTTGGGCTGCGCTGCAGCCAAGTGTGGGACGAACGGGAGCACTCAGGGTCAAGACCCCCCTGTGGATCTAGTCGAGTAGATGTATGTAACTGCGTGCGGCAAAACTTCATGTACCCCGCCCCTTTGACCTATTGCTTTGTGTTGTCTTTGTGCTGTTTTTGTGTTGTTTTGCGGTCGTTGTTCCGCGAGCGTGTGCCGGAAGCCAGGGGCAATGACGAGGAGTGATGCGCATTGATGGACAGCAGAGCCACCTCATCACCTGATCCACTGCGGTCAGCAGGGTGATGGACAGCAGAGCCACCACATCGCCTGATCCATTGCCAGTCAGCAGGGTGGCATACAATTACTAGTTGCACCAAATCGGTGACTGCTTGCACCTACTCCCTCCAAAACTTAACTAGCCTAAAACCTAAACTCTAAAACCTAAAAATTAAACCCACCCTTACCCTAATCCTAACCCTAAAACTCACCCTAAAACTAAACCTAACCCTAAAACTGAGGTTAGGACGCAGTGTGCATGTGATTTAGTGCAAGCAAACACCGATTTGGTGCAGAGAGTAATATTACTTCAGTGATGCGTATTGATGGACAACTGAGCCACCTCATCACCTGATCCATTACGACCCTACTGACTTGCTCAAATGTCGTTCAGTGGGAAAGCCTATCGACAGCACATCGAAACTCACCGAGAAACGCTCTGCTATGGATTGACTTACCGGGAGCCTAAATATGCAGTTGCTCCAGTCCTAGAGCACGATCAAGGGAATCCTACTGTGGCCAGTTGGATCGCACCATGCGATTCGCATGGCTAAGGTGGCAGCAAGAAAATCATAGAGGCAGAGGCTGGCGCCTCAGTTGTTAGGATTGTCCAGGTTAGAATTGTGTCGAAGATCATGTGAGCATTAGGAATAAGCATCTTCTTATGAGATCTTCCCAATCGGAGAGGCGGCGGAATGCGCACAATACCTGGATGAGCGAACCTTACTTAAATAAAAGGGCTATTAGTAAGGCTTAGAGGTTTCTTTGGACTTGTGGTGAGCATGGCAACTGATGTGTGTGGTGCATGGTGTGGCGCAGTGTGAACCCTGTTGGAGGGTTGGATTGGATCATGAAGCCGGAACAAATTTCTTGCAGTCAATGTGCCCTCAACGTTGTTTCTCAAGTTTGAAACTTTCGGCCGCAGAGTTGAATCTGAGCCTCTCTAGTTACCTTTTCCCTTAGCCAATTCAGTGGCACGTGGTGCCCGTTTGGACTGCATTGACGACAATAACCATAAGTCGTTACACGTGTGGGTGGCTTCACAATATGGAGCGAGGTATTGGGTGATTCGACTGCAGCCAATCAAGCTTCACAAAGGTGCTCTGGCAGATGCATGCAAAATATAGTGGTACGATTGTAAGATCGTGTTGCGGTATGACTATAGCAGTTTGGCATTGCCAAATTGGCAAGTGATGGCTGTTACTGTCACGGCAGTGCTGTGCAATCTATTCCATAAATCACATGTTGTGTGCACGACTCCCACCTACCCACCTGGGAGCCCAACAGTTTGTGTTTCATTGTCTCATGGTCTCCAAGGATACGGTGGCTATATCTTCAGTGGCTCCCAAAGGGAACACGGCAATTTCACGACTCATTATGCCACAACGATTTGTGTTTTGAGTTGGGTGCAGCACGGAATGTGATCGTAATTATGGATATACTGATATTGCATCCGATGAACTTGGCACAAAAGAATTTTCAGTGCCCTTCTTAGGGGCCCTCTTTTGGTGAGCCAGTAAATGGTCTTGTAGTGAAGAATGGTTACTCGCCAACTGGCGCGCCCATTGGTGAGGGCACATCTTTTGATGTATTATCATCGGCAATCGCTTCTTGGCATTAGGAGCAAATAGACTCATCTACTTTGTTTGTGTTAAACATTAGATTTCAATGAGCTGATCATGGACACTGCTTTGCTCGGGCAAATAGGAAGCTGACGACTAGTGCAGAAGACTAGTTATTGCACAAATGGCAACACCTTGGCATGCTGAAGCACACTACCTTTCAGAGCCCAAAAACGAATTAAACGAAAGCAAAAAACGGTCAGCATTCCACAAAAAAGTATAGTGCCTGCACCATGCACTCGAGGTGATTGCCCGGTGCTGATCGTGTCATCCATTGACCAAGTCCATCATTATTTTTCGCAAAACAAGACCATGAGGTAGCCATTAATTCCCAATAACTAGAAGCGATTATCGATGACAATACACCAAAAGAAATGTCCTCACCAGTTGACGAAAAGGAACCAGAGGAAAAAGTGCTTTTCCATTGCGACATCGAAAAAGACAAGAGTGGCTTCAGTGGATGTTATCATAGGCGTGGCAGTGGAAGAGAAAATGGATCTCGTCTTCTGGGGCCAAGTGACACAAAGGAGACAATCGCCTCGAAAATTTTGGCATAGATTGTCATGTTTGGTGTCGTTGTTGCTCAGCCTCCAGAAAGTGCACCCCACAGCGAAATCGCAAGAAAAATGTCCTGAAGGAAATAGGTTGTAATGACGATAGGAATCGTTCATATTAGTATATTGGCTTGATGTGTCTGTACCATCGCTGAATCTTTGAAGATTGGTTGCAGAAGACAATGGCAATGTGGATGTGTTTGCAGTTCTGTTGAAAGGACTATATATCAATTGGTGTAGCCTATGTTGAAGTGAAATCAGGCCAGAATCGATGGGAAAAGTCATTGATGTGTCCATACCATGAACGAGGATTGGTTGAGAATTGTTGAAACTCAGAATTCAAAATGTCGCTATGAACTCGAGAGTTGGGAAATTCCACCATTCGATTCCAGTATCTCATCAATTGTCTCTATCGAGTTGGCCGGTCTCTTTCGCACACACTCGCACACGGTCGCTCCCAGGCACGGGAAGCAAAACCGTAGCCGGATACATTACAGAATGAGTGT